GGGAGCCCCGGCGGCGGCTGCGCCCCCGGACGCACTTTTGGGGATGCGCGGGCGCCGCTGCTGCGGGAGCCGCTCGGACGAGCGCGGGAAGGGGCCGCGCTGCGCTCCCGACGGGAACACGTCCCGGCGCGCCCGCGGACGGGCAGCGCGGGGCCGCGCGGCGCTGGCCTAGCGGCCCGGGGAAGGAATGGACGTGACCGCGCTGCTGCTGCTCCCGCTGCTGCTCCGGAGCGGATCTCGGTGGGATAGTCGGGGTTGGGCTTTTGCCTGACGCCCCAGAGGCTGCTGCCCCGGCAGGCTCCGGCAATTAGCACAACAGTCTGACGTCGCCTGGGCTTGGTCGCTCAACCTGTGACATTGATGAGGAGGGGAAGCAACTTTCTAGCTGCACACGCCGCCTGGCAGGAGCTCAGGCCACATTCTGGCTCTGTCACTAAAGCTGCAGTTTCACCGTTCAAATCCCAGGTGCTTTTACCCGCCTTGCTCAGCACTGCCCATGCTGCAAGTGACGGGTCGGGGTCGCTCACCAAGGACTGATGCTGAAACCTAAAGTATTTCCAGCGCAGAGCAGGATCATGGCTAGCGCAACTCTGTGTTTTATTTTCTCCCACCAATAGGTGGAAGAAAACATTTTCAATCCCTCCTGAGACAAAGAAATTTTCTTCTCCTGAATAGCTAGGAGCTAAGCAAGWTAAAAGTAGGATTTAAACTTCGTTTGGTGCAGCATCAGAGTCCTAAGGCACTTGAGGATTTTTTTCACAATAGAGACTATTTTTTATCCCAATATGGGAGAAATTGTGTATTTAGTCGTTAAATGCAGACTCCCATTCTGTTTGCACAGATGAATTCTGCATTTCTAAAAAGTGATGGTCCTATTTTGAAGTAGGTGGGGTTTATAGGTACTAGGGTCCCAGGGTTTTTAGGTGCAGCAAAGTCATGTTACTGAATAGTGTAACTGTTTGCCACGAGGATCATCAGCTCTTAGTAATACCCATGCTATTTTACAAAGTCTAAACTACCTTTAAATAATTAATACCTGAGGTAGATGCAAAGGATCTTCTTCCCTAGACTCGATTAGCTCTGTTCGACTTGATTAGCTCTGCTCACCTGCCAAAACTGTTCCGGGGTGCAAACTTCGAATGCRTTTAGCAAGAAACCCTCTCGGGACCCCGAGCAGGAGCCGTCGCTGAGGGAGTTGGTGGCTCCGCGCGCTCCTCGCGCGCTGCCACTCGCCGGCGCGCGGGGCCGATGGTGACTTTGCCTCCCTCGCTCGTGTGCGGCGGCAGCGCGCGTTTCGTCCGGCGTTTGCTCTGCAAGAGAAATCGGCACTTGTTATTTCAGCGCGTCCCCTGCAGCCCGGCTGCTTCTCGGAAAGGGGCGGCAGGAAGGGCCGCCCTCGCGCAGTAAGTTTGGGCAGGGAGGAGGCTGCCGGGGCGCTCGCCGGGCGCGCCGCGGGATTTCCCTGCGCCCGGAGCCGCGCCGGGCTCGGGAGCGGCGCCGCTTCCGCGCGGGTGCCGCGGCGCCGGGGGCGCCCGCTCCGGCCGCGGGATTAGGAGCGTCCGCGGGGTCTGAGGGGCAGCGGCGGCCACCGGGAGGCAGAGGCGTGCGCCGAAAGCCGCCCTTGCAGCCGGCTGCAGCGCGGGGATGCCCGGTGCGCCCGGCTGGCTGAGCCGCCWGTGCGGCAGCCGCGGGGGCTGCGCGGCAGCCTGAGCGCCCGGCGCGCGGCGCGGGCAGGAGCGGAGCCCCGCGGGGCCCGGGCCGCAGCGTCCTGCGCTCGGCGCCGCTATCGCCCCTCGCCCGGGGTCCCCGGGAGCGGCGGCCGGGAAAGCGAATCCCGCTCCGGCAGCCGGCGGTCCCCTCGCCTGAGGGCAGGAAAGGTGTCGCGGACCCCACGGACCCCTTTGACACCCCAGGGGCGAGACAGAGGCCGGAGAGCTACGAGGTGCGGAGCACGGGGACCCCACGCAGTAGTTTTTCCAGATTTGTTTGATTCTTTTTACTTTGTAACGTCAAATGTACATGTGTTACCGGGGGAAAAATTCTGCTTTATTGCCCTGGGTATAGCTAGCAACATAGTGCTATGCTATATAAACGTTATTCTAAACATTTCTTTTCAAAATAATTCAAATATATATATTTGAATTTAGTAATAGGCCGCGGGACTGTAGAGCGCCTAACGAGTGACTCTGCAAGAATAAATAGAATCGAGACAAATTGTGCAGCTCCGCTGGGCAGACCCCCAGTGCTCAGCATATGATCCTTAATGTGCCTTGGTCAATATCTCCCTGTGTATCAATGGAAGCTCATTAAAAGAAGATATTGCAGAAAACGGAGCCATGCCGTGTTAGTTCTTGCCAAAGCTTGACATTTTTAATACATTAATAATATGTCTGTAATGTAATGGAAAACTATTAATCAGAACTGGTTATATGCCAGAAATTTAAGCTATAATTGGCTGCTTCTTGTCAGGAATGTCTGTCGTACGRTTCTACATCTGCTTAATGCTCAGATGTCTTGCACTCCTCTGCACTTTTTCCTTGTCAAGTGCACTAAATTCGATCAATGTTATAGTCTATAATTCTGTGTAACGACCATCATTATGACTCTGGCTTACTTTAATGAGAATTCGTTATATGGGAAGTATTTTAGCACAGTGAGTTAGGAGAGCGACTTGCCTCACATTTTTCTAGTCCCATCCAGCCCCATTTATTTGTAGATCAGAGCCCCAGCAGTTATAAAAGGTTATGGATAACTGAAGAATGACCAACCAATATCTAATTTTGTCTGAATGTAAAGGCTTGTGGTTAAGATTAACTAAACCTAGTAACATCATTTGTTGTCATTTCTACATGACATTCACCTATTGTTTATTCCAACTAGGACCTAGTTGAAACTTGTCTTCTCCAATACAGAGCATGCCTTGATTTGTCACAATAAATTTAAAACAATTTCCAGATTTTGAGTGAAGTGAGGGGATTCTTTTTTAACAGAGCACTTGCTTCTCTTTTGGATTATGACTACTCTATTTCCATTGTGTGGGGTTTTTTCCTTCCCAAATAAAACATTAGAAAGGACTAGAGAGGAAAAGTGTCATGTGTCTCTAGAAGAACACTGAAGATGGTCTCTGAATTCTGAGGTAATAAGTTAATATTGCCACTGAGAAAGGAAAAGAATGTAAGGTTGTTAATAAAGCTATGGTAGTACTCAATGCAATTCTTAAAATTTAGCTTTTGATATTTCAGCTTTTGCTTCAAATTCAGATTTGAAGCTTAAATTTATTTGAGCTAATTGAGTTCTATTACTGCATGAAAATTCAGATATTCTGTACGTATTCTGATAGAATATATCACAGTTGTATGGTAACATTTGATAAAATGAATATAATGGAAAATTGCATTTACGTCCATACGGCAATTATTGTAAATTACTTTGCTATGGAAACACAATTCAACCATCTGTTGGCATTTCGTAGTGTCTGTAGTTTAGTTGGGTTTAAGATGGTGCATTCTTTAAATATAGGGAGGCAGTTTGGGAAGGGCTTTGAGGAGAAGTTTTGCTCTCTCTTGAAAGCGCCTGTCACCAAAGCACCCTATTAGGGAGCTCACCCAGTTGCACAGACTTTCTTACAGATACACTACAGTATGTATATGCTATACATACTTTTTTTCCGCTTTTCTGCAGTATAGGAAGGAATTTAAAACTTGAGACAAACTGAGCTCCCGCCTGTGGTGCCTTGCTGCTGTTTCTGAGCATTTGTGGGGATTTTAGGAGAGAGGAGAAGGGCAGGAGCATGGGGGCCCAGGGACGAGCTCCCCCCTGCAGCCCTGGCTCCGCCTGTGCATGTCCAGTGAACTCACTCAGGCTCTGCACTTTCCCTCCCTGTGCCTGGATTTTTACCATTGCCTTTTAGCGTATATGGGTATTTTAAATCATCAGAAAAACATCCTATGATTTTATACCTACAGTAATATAATTGAGGGGTTATAAAGTGAAGGGATCTTGGTTGCTTTTTAATGAGAGGATAAAATAAACCTTGAGTACACGTGTAATAGCTGCCCCCCCCCATGCCTAGGAAGATGTGGCACCCCTGTTAAAAGAGGCAAGTGTCCTTACAGGCAGGTGCAAATGCATCAGCTCTTACCTTCCTCAGAATCAGACTAGCAAACAGGGAGCAAAGSTGTCCCAGGGCTCATCACTGCCTTCTCATCCTTCCCCCAAAAGCCCAAGGAAGGGCTACGGCCTGTGGGGGGCCCTGGGGTCCCTGCCAAATGACAGGGACCAATACTGCTCACTCTGTGACTTTAATGGCAGAGCCTTCCCCCGGGTCCCCTGTGAGGGTTTGTTTCCCTGCTGCCCCACTTGCCAGCTGAGGTGATGTGAGAAACATTTAAGCCCTGTGGTTTGCTCCCTGCTTTTGCCAGGATGGAATTACAATTTTGGGAACAGAACATGCAACTCACCTAGGACGCTACAAATCTGGATTTTTGCGCTTTTTTTTTTTTTTTTTTTTTTTTTAATGGAGTTAAGTTCTTCTTGCTGAAACACTTTTCATTGGGACTGAGTTTGGTGATTTGTTCATTCTAGCACAGCACCCATGCGAAAGGTTACCCACGCTATATCAATCCGCGTTATGTGGCATCAAACCTCCAAAACGTCAGCATGCCGTATATATTTTGTGATGCATTGATCTTTGAACGATAACTCTTACCCTTTTTGTGTTTCTAAAAGGGTGCTGGTGCCAGAAGAAAAGCATGATTGATGGGAAAAAGACACTGGCCGTCGGACACTCATCTCTTTGCTTCGGATGCTGATTTATCAGTGCGTCTGAGCGTCCCCCGTGAGCCGCCACCACGGAGGATCACTCAGGGTTATCTGAAGACCTGCAGCTTCTTGAGCTGTTATCTGCCCCTGGACACGTGGTACAAGAAGCCCTGCTAGATAAGTTGTAAGAGAAAGGACAAGCTGCACATTGCTGTGAAGGGCCGTTGTTTGGGGATTGTGGCTTCTACCAAAGTCTTCAACGTAGTAAAGCAAGCACCGTATTCTAATGCTTCGCGTTTGAGTTGGAACCCATTTTACAAAATAYATACGTGTACATACATGCGTAACCTATAGACTGCACGTACGCCAGTACTGAGTATACTTACAAAGGTGACACAAAAGGATTTAGAGATGTATTTATCAAGATTCCTGTCACTTCACGCCCTCTGGGTTACGGTGTCTTCGGTGATGCAGCATTATCCTTCCGTGTGGGGCCATTACGATGTGTGCAAGACTCAGATTTATACGGAGGAAGGGAAAGTTTGGGATTACATGGCCTGCCAGCCAGAAGCCAGAGATATGATCAAATACGTCAAAGTGACTCTGGATCCGCCAGACATAACGTGCGGGGATCCTCCGGAGACCTTCTGTGCAATGGTAAGGCGAAAGCTTCTCCCCGGCCATTACTGGCAGAGAGATTTTTGGGATAAGATGGCTGCAAAGTGGAAGTTCTTTTGATTCAGGTATAAATATCTAAGAAAGCAATCCACATTGCTTTGCAAATGTGAAAGAGCTCTGCTACGTGAAAGAGTAAGTGTTTAATAAGGCAGTGCAGTAAGCTGGGCAATGGGATGCTCTTCCCTTTGGASCTAGTCTGACTTCAATGTCTTTCTGGTCAAATTTTAATGCCTTAAGAGAAAGCAGCACAAAGCTCCTACTTAGCTAATCCTTAACTGGGCTGTGTTTGTTTGGATCCCAAGGATCACACAAGACTTCAGTGAGCTGGTTCTGGTCAGCTGGTAGGGCCCTGGTCCCCTATAATTTAGCATCACTTCCCAAGAGCAGAGTGTTGCTAGAAACTCAGGCTGCAAAAGCTTCCAGACTGGCACGGGTGGCCGGGCTGGTGGCAGATCATATTGCAAGAGGTCACTACGAGAGGCTTAACGCTGGCAAATGTATTTTTTTTCCTTGCAAAATATGGAAATTCTTTTTTTTTTTTTTTTTTTTTTGGCCACTGTATATTTATTTATGGAAAATCCTGAATGAAAATATAGTATTCCTTGATTAGGAAATATGGTTTGAGATGTAAAGTATGTATTTGTGTCTAAGATACTGCACTATTAAAGCATAAGAAATTTACTTCACCTTAGCTAGATAATTTAGGTTTGAAAAATTGATGAGTTCTGGCAAGTGAGGTCACTGTAACTGAATGCAGCCTGCAAGGTGGTGGTTTGCCTGTAGCAGAATCGTCGTCGCTGTGTGGCAGAGTCTTCCCAGGGAGGAAATCTGCTTCCCAACCATTCCCAACCACTCACGTTGTGTAAGGAGCTCAGGTGCAGCCACACGTGCCCTTGGGACACGGCTGCTTCCCACGTGCGTTATGGGGGGGAGCCACGCGAGGAACGGGAGGGCTCCGGGAATGAATTACTTTCCTGGAGAACCTCTGGCTGCACCACTTGCTCTCTGCCCACTAATCCATCTCTGCTGACACTGCTTTGACATCCGAAACCTCTGAACAGCTTCAAGCAGCCACTGCTTAAAAATAAATAAATGCAACATGCCTGGCATAATAGGGTCATTTTTTTCTCTTTATCTTAAAGGGTATTTTCTCTGTCAAAATTGCAAGAAATGTGCTTCAGCCCTGGACCAGTGACAGGGCGATGTCTAGTAACTCTTGTCATGCAGCCAATACAAGAAGTTGAATGAATTATTTTAGTGTAGACCACAGCCCAGCAAACTTGTTTCTGCTTTTTACTGCAGATAGACTAGGACAGCATGTCTTATTTTAAGTCATTTTCAAAGTTTCTAAGTGCACTGGCTATCAGGCTCCTCTCGTCTTAGAACAGATAGCAGATTTAATAAAAATACCTTTTTTATAGTATTAAAAATGTTGCTGAAATGTTACTGTAAATGTTTGACCTAGCAGGATCCTTGATGCTATGATGGATTATAAAAGTTTACTCAGGAATCATCTGAGGTGACAAATGCAACTTACTTGCACTTTAAACCCTGGCAATTGCAAAGGCCAACAGCAACCTGGCAGGAAAGACAGGAAAAGGGAAAGAGCAAGAGAGCACACAATGAAATGCAGTAATTAATGGGATGAATTTAGGAAGACCGACTCCTGCAGAGTCTGAGGAATGGCTCTATTTGCTTTGAGTATGGATCCATGTTGTRCAAATACAACATATGCATTGGTAATCGCTTGACTGACTTGAAACAGGAGGAAAAGTACAGAAATACTTGCAGCTCCTGAGGTATTGCAGCTCCTTGAGCTTTCAAGTACGTATATGCTAGAGCGCCCTGCAGGGCATTCTTATGCAGACTTTTTTTCTTTGACTTTCATGTCTTTGAAAAGGGAATTTTCAGYATGAAGAGGAACTCTATAGCCCCCCTCATTCCTAGCCCCGCTTCTTGTCCAGCTCTACTTTGTGTACACAGAGAAACTGCACAAGCAGATTTCATCAAAATGCAGCTTATACATATATTGGTAGGGCTGAGCCTTTGGCGTTTCCCAGTGAGATCTTTTACTTTTGCCTTCATTTTTAGTTTTGGAAAATGAGTTAAGGGAATAAATAGCACTGTCAGTACTTGCAGGAGGTGGATGGCAGAAAAGGATACATTCCTATCAGACATATTCTTGCTATTAAAAAAAGTCCTGAATTTGATATGGCAGAGACTCAAGGGTTGCTTTTTGGCACAGAGATGCACCAAGCACACTTAAAAAATAGTAGTTTGTTTTTATTATTATTATGAATATCGAATATTAATGTCCTAAGCTCGTGCATTAGTGTTCCGATTATTTTTCTGATCAGCTTAATGCTCAACTGCCTCTGGTTAATTCCTTGGAGGAAATCTGGCTCCTTTCAAGCACTCCAAGAAAAACCAACTGTACTAAAAGCAAGCCTGCTTCTACAGAAGCAAGAGCTGGACGCAGTTCCCTGTTTCAACCCTCTCTCAGCAAGCCTTAGTAATGCTCTGTTCACCCGTGCCACACACAGTGTGTGTGAAGAGTTTGCGTCAGTCCTCAGCCTGATGCAGATCACGTCACAACAAGTGCACRCAGACCCTCCTGAGAGATTAGAGGAAAATCTAAAGAAAAGAGTTCTGTGACATGGGACATGATAATAGTCTTCAGTAAAATACTGYCCTCCAGGAAAAGGGGAGAAGGATTCAGGATGCGCGGTGCTGCTGTCAGGACTCGCAGGGTTGTGGTGCATGGGGAGCAGGAGGTTACGGTAAAATTGGCCTCCTACATAGCTCAACATGCTCCCCGTGCAATTAAATGTTCTTACAATTCTATTTTGGAATTTCTTTTCATTTYCTTTTTGCTCTGTGAGCCTGTGTAGTTGAGAGACCCAAATAACAAGGTTCTGCACATGCAGATTTGTCACGAGATGCGAAGGCAGCCTCTGAACGCGGCGCGTGGCAGCTCCTCATTCACAGGCACCTGTGGGTGATCCCTGCAGGCCACCACTCACAGGGATTTGGGGAGCAGGAGGCAGGAACACTACCCCACAATTGCTTTTAAGCAATCTGGTTGCAGGATAACTTCCAAGTTAATAGTGACATTCCTTATTAACAGCTATTGAGGTTATTCAGAAACCTCAAGCCCCAGGAGACCTACAATTATGTGAGGCTCTCAGCTTGTATTTAAAACATCATCTCTATTTTCTTAGCCCTTCTAGTTGCAGAGAAAAGTTTGAAAATGAAAAGCTCAGACAGCAGAAGCTGCATAAATAGCACCCAGACTAGTCATTATTTGTTTAAAATTTGATCCTTTTTAAGTCACAGTTTCTGGGCCTTGGGAAGGGGTTTTGGTTGAAAGGAGAGAAGCAATAAAAAGCCTATAAACACATGAATTGCTCAGACTGGTTACGCTCCCCTTTCAGCCATGGTGGTGCCTGTACCTCTTGGGGAGGCCTAACAGCTGATGAAATCTTTTGCTTGTTTTTTTGTTTGTTTGTTTTGTTTACAAGATTTCATACAGCTTAATTCTTCATGATTGTGAGCAACTTTTACCCCACAAAAATATCTTACAGGTAACTTCAGATTTTTCTAGGTTTAAAAACTTGGTGGACTGTGCCCCTTTTGCGAGCCTGGCTGATTTGCCAAGACGTAGCCCTTTGCATTTGAGCCTTACTCGACATGAATATTTAAACTCCCTGCAAACTCGCAGCCAGGAGACTCCTAGTGGCTCTCGCTGCAATTTGCAAAGTGGAGCGGGATTGATGTGCTGTTTACAGCTGAAAGGGCCACACATAAGTATGGTTTTCTGCTCCTGTTTAGGCAAACCTAGCTATCATAACACAATCCAACATCCCCRGGGCGTGAAAATGATAAAATTATCGGCAATTATCTGCTGCCTGCAGCTGATTTTGCTGCTAGGTTGCACAGAAGCAGGGAGGCTGCAGGCAGAAGCCGTGTGCAGTTGTACGGTTTATAGAGCAGAAGTGCTGATGGCAGGAGAAATGTGAGCCCTCGAGTGCTACTCTGTATTTCATAGCCAATCAAAACTAAATTAAGAAACAAAGATTATTAAAAAGTCTTCTGTGCGTGTAATTCTGGCATAATATTATGAGGTGGACATTAAGTGTTTCCCTCTGAGACTTTCAGCATCATTAATATAGCATTCCTTTAATTACAAGTAGGCTTGTATTTCTCAAAAAAGTGAAAATACTCTGCAGGGTAGTTAGTGGTACCATTATTTTGTTTACTGAATTAAGTAAAAGGTATTCCTTGAAGCAACCTACAAATCACAATRTGGAATGTTTGAAACACCCAACACACGCCTGTGTGCTTGGGTGAGACACTGTAACATAGTGCTGACAGATCCTACTATAAGATACTGAAAAGGAAAAGCTTTTTCTTTTATTGGCTAAATACAGATGTGCAGTTCTTAATTTTAGTTCAATCTGTGCAGGCTCAAGTAGCATGAGTAGAATGGAAACATGGAGTTAAGATRAGCTTATTACTGCCTTGGTTAGGGGGGATTTTTACAGCTGCTCATTTAAAGACAATGTGCACACCTGGAAGTTCTTACAGCCATTATATAGCCCAGATTCATCTACTTGGTGTTCTTTCGAGGATATTTAATAAAAAAGAATCCCTTCATTGGTGTTGAAAGGGAACCGTACCTTTCAGCGATGAGGATTTGTATTCTGGCATTTCCTCTGAGGTCAGGGTTATTGCGGTTCATGTTTAGCCCTCCCACTACTCCTTCCCTGCCTGCTTCCTTCCACAGCCCCCATCAGCTAGGCCCAAAGAGGACATCCTACCTGTGCCTTTTGTAGTGGTATCTGTAGAGAAGGGTCACAGCCTCTTTGTCCCTCAGACATCTTAGCAAAGGAGTTTCTAAATTTTCTAAAAGAGAAAAAAAATATTATATATATATATATACACACACACACACACACACTTAATAGCAGCAGGGAAAA